ACTGACTGTCGCCGAAACTGTGCAAAATCACCAGATTTGCCCTGTTTTCTTCCAATTGCCTTCTTTATTGCCCCGAATCGAAATACAAGAGTAATGAGTCCATTTAAGTGCTAAAGTAATGTAAAAAAATGAAAATTAGGGGACAAAAATAGGGTTCTTTTCAGTCTCATCAAATCCCCCCACACTTAAACTTTGCCCGTCCATGGGCAAGTCAAAACTCAAGCAAAAACAAGAGAACCTAACTATTGAATCTTTCTTCTTTTTCTCTCTACGAGGCCTGGCCCATTGCATGCTTTAGTCCAGTCTTGGTAACCTTTCCCTTTTCATCTCTTTCTTCCCTTTTCCTTGTCCAAGAGTGATTGCAAATCACCATTCTTCATGGTCCTAAGTTGAATCGACAGTCAAGGAAACAAGCCTTCCTGGCTGAAACTCCCCGGACTGAACAAATACCCATTGCTTTAACAAACCAATTCAGCCAAATTCAATTACCTTTCTTGTTTCTTGGGTCAAGACAATGTATGCTTATTTCCAAAACCTGCTATGTAGGGGTTGGGGTTGGGGTTGGGGTTCTAGGGTGAGTGCATTTTATGCTCCATCTCACCCTTGCTTTCGTTTCTAGATGTGAGTGCATTTTATGCTCTATCTCACATTGCTTTCATTTCTAGATGTGAGTGCATTTTATGCTCCATCTCACATTAGTCACGATTTATTACTTCTTTTTTTTTTTGCACAAGAATCATAGGGTCTCGCCACCTGATCCATGAATCCATTGATTGTGGTCTCAATACGCCTAACATAGCTAGTTCTAGAATAATCAAACCATGTTTGACAATTATTCATGTGAAAAGCAATCAAACCTTCATTTAACTTACCTAATGATCGATTAAAACAATGAGGTACCATATGCAGCCAAAAAAAATTCAGTTAGTCATGCTTGCATCCTATCCTATCTATTCAGCCTAGGCACATGCTTCTTGATAAGATGAAATCATTCAAGGATAAGCTTCCAGGGAATAGAGTTTCCAAAAGGCAAGGTTAAGAAGAGATGATCAAAGCATGCTAGGGTTTTTCGTCAGATTTCCCTAATCCCCCCACACTTAAGTTGTACATTGTCCCCAATGTATGTGATTATGCATAAAATAGAAGGATTTTGGGGTACTTCCCTGTTTGTCTTGTTGGGTTCCTGCTAAACACAAAAAAATCAAAACTTAAACAAAATAACAAAATCACAATGGGTTGCCTCCCACAAGCGCAATTGTTTAACGTCGTTATGCTCGACGTCCTTCTTTTTCTTCTTTAATCGAATGAATACCGAGGAATGTCCAATGAGATGTCTATCATAGAGGAGACATTTGCATCCTCGTGGAACAGCTTCAATCGATGCCCATTCACCTTGAAGATCTTGCCTGTGTCGAGACTTTTGATCTCTACTGCACCATAAGGAAATACATTAGTCACACTAAAAGGACCCATCCATCTGGAACGCAGCTTACCTGGCATGAGTTGGAGGCGAGAGTTGTACAGTAAGACCTTTTGTCCAACTTTAAATTGTTTTCTTAAGAGTACATTGTCATGGAACAATTTGGTCTTTTCTTTGTAGATTCTTGAATTTTCATATGCCTCTAACCTCAACTCTTCCAACTCTTGCAACTGGAGCTTCATTTCCTTCCCTRCTTCTTCCATATTCATGTTGCAGCGCTTTATTGCCCAATAGGCCCTATGTTCAATTTCGACCGGCAAGTGGCAAGATTTGCCAAAAATTAACCTGTAAGGGGACATACCTATTGGGGTCTT